AGGAAAAACTGCTTGCAGAGCTGGTCTGTTCGGCGAAAATCCCTTACACAGGAGGTCTGTTAGGCGGGGGGCCACTGTATTGGTAATCAAATATTGGACAAAAATTCTACATTTTAAAACTATCAAAACATGTTTATATGTATCTAAGATTCATCTGACTACAATAATAATACTGCTGTACCGAAAAACTGGACTGCAAATTTCCGGGCATCATCCAGAAAACCTGTGAATTCAGCATTATATTGAACTTAGTAATGTACTGTATATGCAAAAAAGGACTGTTCTTTAATTTTGACGTTTCTTTGTTGCTGGAGGGAATTTCTATGGTTCGCAAGGTTGCCTGATCAAATACTGTACATAAAACTTGTAGTTTTTGACAGCTGCTGATGGTTCCAAGTGTTCTGTGTGGAAATATCCGGAAGGAAGTAGTGAGATCATGGGTTGTGGCAGCAGCCATGACTTGCCGTACTCGAATCAGAACTCAGCGGTCGTCAAGGTACGATAGAAAAAGATATTTTCAGTTTGACTAAATATCCTGAAATGAATGAATCATTTTAAAATTCTCGATTATTCATTTCACATCTCATTCCCGCATATTTTAGCGACCGCAAAATCCTGACGGTCGGATGATGAATGGCCAACTTCGAGTTCCTGACGACCGAATGGACGTCGTTTCAGTTCAGGTGAATTTTTTTTTATCTGACAACTTTCAAGTTGACCGTTTTTTAAAAAGGTTTTGCGGGAAAAATTTAATATTATTTTTTCTCGAATTTTTTTTAAAAACTGTATATAGGCGGAAGTAGATGAGGAGACGTTGAAAGAGTACATCGAATTGGAGAAGCAAATACAAGAACGCGAGCTTGAAAGTCCATTGAAAAACTTGGAACTGAAAAGTTTGCAATTGACTCAGATTGAAAACCAGATCCCAAAGTTGGAAGCTGAACTTGCTGACCTCAAGGCACAGACGTAAGTTTCTTATGTTCGATTATTATTACAGTACTTTTCTTTGTAAATGTCTTGAATGGCCCTCATTTTGAAGATGAGGCGGTTGAAGACATTCATGGTTCATTTTCCACTGTTTATATCTAGCATCAAGCATTTTTTTTTCGACTTTACAGGAACAATGAAAATGACTCACACGATATTGAAGCAGAATTGAAACAAGCTGTGATGGACAATGGAGAAGCTGATACTGATGCAGAAAAGAATGATTCTCTTGCTGCGATCAACAGACAAGTGGGTGAACTTCCACTGTTTAATAGAATACGCCAAAAGAAAATTTCAAATAACTTTTGCGTATGGAATACTGTAAATCTCAATTTTTCGTCCCCATTTTAGGACAGAAGTCGATTTGAATTGTTTTGTCAAGTGGATGTGACTTGTTTTCCTGGAACCTTTTCCCTATTATTCATCCACGGATTTTAATTTTTATTGCGATACGATTTTCTTTGAAGTTCTTTTTTTCGATTGATTCCTGCTGAAAATGTAATTCGAATTTTTCCTTCATTGGACAAAGAACTGATCTGAATGGTTGATGTGCTTTATGCAAGAAATTTTGGTTTGGTGTAAGTTTTATGGACTGGAGAAATCATGCAAAGATTTTAGTACAGTATATAATGGAAAACAGCTTGATTGAATTGAAGAATTGAGGTTCGAAACCTTTGAGATATTTCAGCAATTTTTGGGAAATGAGCGAGTTTTCAAGGACATTATTAACATTTGAAAATTAGAAATATTGACACAATATTCATCTTCCATCCAGAGGGTCCAGGACGTCTATTCCGAAAAATTCTCATGATTTGAGGTATATAGAAGCTCTTCCTGGAGAATTTTTATAGAAAAAAGAAGACTATTTATTCAAAGCCTCTTGATTCAAATATCCAAATCTTTCAACTGCCACATTATTGATCCTCAAAAACGTGTGTCAATCAAAATTTTCCAGCTTTTCAAATTGTCAGGTGTGAAGTGCGTATAATCCGTTGTTTTCTAAATAAATTATGGAAAAATCTGCTTAAAATATGAAAATGATATGAAACTACGTGGAAGCTTCAATTGCCCTCTAATAACATTCCTGTTCTTTGGCGCGCTGACATATTTTAAAAATTGGGAAGTGTCTCTTCCTTAAATAAATATTCAATTAAAATGAGAGTACTGTGTACTGATTTTTAGGATGACGGACAAGATATTACACATAATCTCTTTAATTCAAAGTCCATGAAGTTTAGTCATCTCTCATTTCAAAGAAAAAGGTACAGAACCAAAAAGCTTTTAAATTGCTCACAAATTTTTTTTTTGAAGTGCAATCCCACTTGGAAGAAAATCCGGATGGAATCTCATCTGCTAAAATTCTGGACGATGATGCCTGATGATATCTGTGGAAAATCAATCGATTTCATACAGCGGAAAGGCTGACATTTTACTATTTAGTTCCTCTCTCTTATTTTACTGTACTTTCATTATTCATTATTCAGTCAATCCAGCACAACATACTTAATTCATGCAACAGGTTGGTCTGTTGTGTGAAAAGTCTGTTTTGCAAATTTAATTAGCATAAAATTTAAATGTGTACTTTATACCATTAATTTTAAACCAACCGAAGTCTGTTATGTGGATTTAGTCCATTGTGTGGGAGGGAAAAACTGCCTTCAGAGGCTGTCTGTTGTGCAAAATCCATCATCTGCTAGGTACATGGTATACTCAAGAAAAAACACGCGGCAGCAGTATTTCCATGCAAATGCAAGAAGAAGTTTGAAATATATTCTGTGCTTTTTGATCAATTATTGAGAAGAAATGGTAACTTCAAAATAAATTAACTTCTGATGAATTAGAGTCTCTCACTCTTGTAGCTTATTATGATTGATGACGTGGGTTTAATGAAAAGGGATGAAGATAAACTGCGCCCTTCATTTCATTGAATTTCCATATCACTAGAAACAATTCAAAGAAAATAATCAAGGTGAACTGAGAAGAAAAAAATAATCCGATTCCTTACATACAAAGGTTCTAAAAAAGTGCCTCCTCTGTTGACTGAATGAAATGCAGATTGAAGTAGAGGGTGTCATTGATTCAGAGGCAGCATCAAACAGACCCTGATGGAGGCCTTGATGCACTATTCAAGTCCCAAATGAGGCTGTTTTAATGAGACAAACTTTTCGCTTTGCCTTGTTAGGATGATTGCACAGCATGCTGATGAGATTTCAAGACTGTAGTAGGAATAAACAGTGGTTCATCCCTGCAGAAAAACAATTGCAGAAAAACATTCTCATGAAAAGGCTTCCATTATGCAGGGAGTTTTTTATAGAGGCATGGGTAGCAATTGGCATATTAGTAAATTTCTCATGTGAACAAGAATCCAAGATTAAGCTGTGTGTCTCACTTTATTCAAAGTTTGGAAAAAGGTATAATTTGCGTACCAAAACCTTCAAAGAATCATTTTATTCAATTTTTTCAGATTATCATGTACGTCCATTTGGGATAAAAATATAAAGACAGCTGAAAAAGGCATTTGAAGACAAATATACAGAAGGAAAGAAATCTTTTTTCAAGAATCCATTCTAAATAAAACCTGTGAAATCTGTTATTGATTTTCAAAATATTTTTATCATGGATTCTATGAAAAAGATTGATTATTATGGAATTCATGTAATCAATGATGAAAAGCATATGTCAGGTATGATCTAGATTTTATTTAATCAGAAGAGTGGCCAAAACATATCAAGTTAGTTTGATTAAAGTCTCAACAGTGACAAAGCAGAGAAGTGTCTTTTCAATCTTTATGTGCATGTAGGTTGAAATTCAAAATTAATGGTTGTTTAACATGTCTTGGCCTCAACTTCATGTATGATCTCCTTTATTAACCATTGGATGGTGGAGGGTTCCTTTGCATTGCACTGCAGAGTCAGGATTTTTTTGGGGGGTGGCAAATTTCAGTTTGACTCAAGGTCACTGAAATGCTCTATGGTTGAGAAGGCCAGGACAATTTCTTTTGTGACATTATCAAATATTTTTATTCACTTTAAAAGTTAAATCCTCAAATTGATTTTCAGCCTTGTCCAGGCTTATTTTAATTCGTTTTATTAAACTTTTCTTCATACTGTTAGTTGAAATATCTGTTGAATTTCTATGTCTTTTGGTTGTGGCCATCTTTTTTCCCAACATCAACAGTTCCCTCTGATGGCATATATCCATAATTTGAAAACAAAAATAAGTGCCTCAAGTGCTGTGTCAAAAACAGATGCATTCAATAAATTTCATCCATGCTGAAGTGGCTCTTTGGTCTTCTATACAGATACAGTAACATGTAACTGGTGAATTAAGAATGTTGTCCCAAAGTTTAGTCTCATTTTCCCTTTGACTCACATTACATAATTTTAATTGCTGTTTCATGAAAGAAATATTCATCAAAATTCCAAGAAACAGTAGAAAAAATAGTCAGCCAATTGAAACTGATTCAATAAATATCTTTCAGCTCATTTGGAACATTGATTACTGAACCTCTGTAAGTACATTGAAATGTTGGCATTCTCTGTAAAAAAAAATTCAAGTCAAAAATAGAGAAGGAAGTCCCTCTATGTTGTAAATCATTTTTCAAGATTAGCTCAATGGATGGTAAATGATTAGAGAAATTTTGGGTTTGGAAATACTGTATCTGTTTCTTGCAATTTGGCCTGAAACGTATCAGCAATCTTAGCACACAAGGTCTGCATGTTGAGTCATTTTCTGCATGTTTGGACTTTTTTTATGCATTTTTATATAGGAAAATAAGTGTCCGTAGGTTGAATTGTTTGCATGTCAAGGTTTCTGGATGTGGGAGTCCAACTGTATATTCAAGCAACTTATTGACTCACTAAAAGGAAATGAAAAACAAGCAAAATATTGTTTTTCTAATTTGTAGTCATATTAATGACCACAAC